GAGGTGGTGGGCGTGGTGTTGTCCTCTCTTGAGTGTAGACGAAGACAGGAGCCGGGCCGAAAACGAAGGCATCGCCTGGCCGAGTTGGCAGAATGGCAGCTCCTCCTTGGCCCTGGAGTCGTAATTTGGCCTCTTGTGATTTCGTCAGATACTTCCGTGATCCCAGAGTACTATTGGACCTTGAGGCGCCAGGGGAAGACATGCCTGGTTTGTCAGAGGCAGGAGCTGGAGCAGACGTGCCAGGTGTTTGAAAATCAATGGAAGGCTGAACAGCCGAGGCCGGGGTAAATGAACGATGGACTTGAAAATCGAAAGGGGATCCTTTATTAGCCGAGGCTGGTGCAGGGTTGTTAGGCTTTTGGAAATCGAAAATGGATGGCTGACGAGCCGAGGACGGGGGAACAGGCGGCACATTCGTTGAAGTGTCCACTTGCTGAAAATCAAAAATCGATGCCTGACGAGCCGAGGCTGGTGGAGATCTGCCAGGCTTCTGGAAATCGAAAATCGATCGCTGATGAGCCGAGGACGGGGAAACAGGCGGCACATTTGTTGAAGTGCCCACGTGCTGAAAATCGAACATTGATGCTTGATGAGCCGAGGTCGGGGCAAACGCTGAAGTACCGACTTTCTTAAACTCGAAAATGGATTGGTGAGCCGAGGCTGGGGTGAATGGGTTGGAACTTAGAGCAGGGGTAGGTTCTTTGAAATCGAAAATGGATCTATGAGGAGCCGAGGATGGGACGTCCACTTCCATCACTAGTTCGGATTCTTGGCTCTGTCCTATCGGCCACCCAGAATTTAGGTTTGGCTAGTTTTCTGTCACCGACTGGAACTCACCACTTGGTTGAAGAGGGGGTAGAGCCTTGGCCGTTCCTAAGATATGGTTAGAACTGCTCAGCCAACAAGAGTACATAAAACTTACCATCCTTCATTTCTTGGTCTTTCATCACAGCTTCTGTTTATCTACATTAAGTAGACAATCCTTGGTGTGGAGTAGGGACAATACCTGGATTTGTTAAAGACATATCAGTCAGAGAGTAGATAGCTTTTCCTGGGATTGCACTGTGTGGTTGGTGATGAAGACGCATTGTTTTTCAACGGTGGGAAAGCAAGCCACTGCAGATCGGCCATGGAACATTCTGCGGATCTCGGTTGAACATTGTACGGATCTCGGTTGAAGTAA